GGCATCGAAATCACAGTCCACATAATCACGCGCTAATAACCGCGATAAGTTGACCACAAGACGGGCTACCGAATTCTTCGATAGGATGAGCCATTAGCCACCCAAAAAATACCGAAAACCCCATTACCCACCGCCCTCCGAACGCCCTTCGATCAAAATAGCGCCCGTTTATTAATTAGAATTTATGGTCCGGTTATTGTCGCGTCCATATAGAGACAATAAATAGCCGTTGTATATGTTTTCTGGAACTGGAACCGCCCTATCTTATCGTCCCGGCTCAGCTCTTCAGTTCTTTAAATGGGCTTCGACAGGTGAAGAGCCCTAGCTCTCCCTATCGCCCAGGAGCGGTTGTTCCACCAGATCCGACGAGATCTAGGCGATACCAAAGCGATTAAAACACGGCATTATTTATCTCAAAGGGTTCGCATGAATATGAAAGACAACAAAGTACTTCAGGTTTAGATTAGGATTATAATGGAACTTTCGAGTTCGGGGCAACTTATTTTAATAGGAATTGGGTGATATGAATATAATAATATTTCCAATGAATCACTTTTGTAAGAAGTATGATATATTTTTTATAGATACCCCAAAAATCTTGAAATTAAAGACAGAAATTTATCATATATCATCGAAATATCATCATCTTCGTTTCATTTAAATAGGAATTGGGTGATATGAATATTATAATATGATATATTTTCTGTAAATTCCCAAAAATCTTGAAATTAAAGACAGAATTTTATCATATATCATCGATATATCATCATCTTGATTTCATTTAAATAGGATTTGGGTAATATGAATATTATAATATTTCCAAGGGATTACTTTTATAAGAAGTATGACCTATTATTTGTAAATTCCCCAAAAATCTCAAAATGAAAGAAAGAAATGTATCATATATCATCGATATATCATCATCTTGATTTTGGAGAGCGAACCGCTCCTGAGATCTGCCACACGCCCCGTAGGTAATCGAAGATTTGAGTGCCACGCCCACCTGCCACCCAGTGCACACCTGCCGCTGATTCTTCTCGCCGGCGGTTATCTCGCAGAATTGGCAAACGCAAATCGCCCAGCAAAAAAAAATCTGGCCAAAATGAGTTAGCCAAGTGGAAAAACGAAATAAAATATATATATTAAAATGCGGCTGGGGCGGTATGGTCGTCGCCCTATCTCTATCTCTGTCCGATTATTTACAGTTAGCTCCGGCCAGGCGATAACCTTGCCCACATATATCTTGGCCAGCTCTTGGACCGCCATTTGCGATTACCTGGTGGCGACGGCGACGTCGACAGCGACGCCTGCCACTAATCACTCCAATTAGCTAGAAAGTGCTTTTCGTTTTAAATTCGCACGTTGTCGCAGTTTCTTGGCATTGTACTGCGAGGCTCTGAGACAGCCACTTGGCCATTTGGAGTTCCCTTTTGTTTGGTTAAGGCTCAGGTTCAGGCCGAAACTCAAAATCCAAAATTCGAGTTCCCGAGTTCCGTGTCCCGAAGGATCCGCATTTTTTTGTCGCCCAAAAAAACCAAATTGTGAGTGTGTACCTCTGCAAAAGTGAAGATCCTGCTAAACATATACCTAAAAAAAAAGCTTATAAAAACTTATAAATACCATAAACCAAGTTTATAAATGCATAACAAAGCCAAAGAGCGAAACAAAAACCATCACAAATAACCAAATTCGAATGCACAAAAAATAACAAATTGAACAAAACTGTAGTATGTAGTAATAAAAATCAAAACAAGACATTTGCAAGCCGACAAACTTGAGTTACTCTATAAAGAAATAAATATACAACTCGTTGAACAAGTGCTATAAAGTATACAGTTTAAGGTTTTCCACTGGCATACAAATAATGCTATAGATCTTTTTTTTTCGATTCCGGAAACTGAAACAGTTCCGTGTGTCTGACATAAGATAGAAATAGTTAGTTTTTATTTTTTTTAATTTATTTCTTGTCTAAAATTGTGTCAAGTATTTGAAGTTCAGGATTTCACATTTTATTAATGTAATGTATAAAGTGCAGATATTTATTTTGAATTTTTTAGAATTTAGTATTTTATTTATTTGTGCTTTATCCTTCAGTAAAAAATTGCATATTTGCTAAGCAAAATAAAAATTAGTATATGGTTGTTACAAACAAAGATCAAACTTCGCCCCTTCAAATCCCTTTTACTTCGAACTATAATAATATAATCTAAGGTCGAAATATTTTATGGATCTTGCAATACTAAAAACCCATCTAAGAGTATCCCCAAAACGTGCAAAACTCGAGGCAAAGAGGCAGCTTAGGTGAAGGGCCCCGTAGCAAAATGGAAATAATAAATAAAAGCGAGCGAATAACAATACAACTTTTGGCACCAGCCAATTTGTAGGCCACTTAAGTCCCGATCTACGCGCGGCGAAGATAATGCAGATTGTCTATAGCCGATTTCGAAACGCGATGGAAAGGGAAATACTCGACGAGTCGTGTGTTATGGAGTTCCCGACTTTGATGAGTGCGTTATTTCGCTAGAATAATAATTGAAATTGAAATGCTTTTTTTTTTAATGACGTTTGGCGCGTGTCGCGGTTTTTATATGTATATGATATATATAAAAAATTAACCCACACGCAGCAGCCATAAAAATCTTTGGCTTAAATGTAGAGAGAACTGGCAATTGTCGGCCAAATGCGGACAGTAGATAGTAGAAATATCTACATCTATATATATATATATATATAAGTTTTATATAATCCCGATGCCTCATCAGGGGGAAATCCGCCGAAAGTGTATTGCCTATCGGCTAATTGAAGAGCTCAAAAAGCCAACACGTGCTGACCGAATATTCTGGTGTATATATACTTTTTTCCAGCTGTTTAGCTTTAAGATAATTAGCATTAGACGGCGCCGAGTTTGTTGTGGTGACGTCAGTCTATCAAAGTCGCCAGTAGCAGGTTCTTTATGGGTTCTATTAATTATGGCCAGGTTCCGTGTGATTTCGTTTCTGGATTTTTGCGTAAATATTGAAAAAACACCAAAAAGCCCAAACTACGTCGTATTATCTGACGTATTATCTGCGATAATAAATGAACCGAACCGAATCGGTCTCAAGCTCTAAATACAAACTCATCGCAACAGATACTTATACCCAATAATCGATTATGGTATGGGGATATGGGTAAACCCCTTTCAGTCACTTTTTTTGCCTCCACAAATGCATGTAAATATTAGATCAAATGCACTGTTCACGCTGCAAAACACAACTGTCACTGTCATAACACTAAGTCCCCATATATAATGGGCTGTGAAGTCACATGTCGGACAGTGACGAGTCACGGATTGCATCACGAATAAAGTCAGGTTATAGCCGCAGTGACTTTTAAAATGTTTGGGACACTTGGGACTGCATTATGATCGTAATAAGTCGTGGTTGAACTAAAAACTCAAAGGTTTTCTAATAGAGTAACAAATTACATTGTCTGTCAATTGATGGGAAAACGAATACGTGAGACAATTAGTAACGCTGTTTTGACTTTACCGTAGTAAAATGTCATGGTTAGGCCAATCACTTGATAAAGAAAATCCCACATTACTTGAATTCAAGGGTAAACATGGAAAATGCACTTACGATTTCAAAAGAAAACCGAAATATATTGACCTAAAAGACTACACATTAAAAAATAAGGTATTTTATAGTGAGTCATAAAATATCAATTAAAAATTTTCAAGAACAGTGACGAGTCACACTTTATTGAAAACCCTAAAAAAGTTGCCTCAATTATAGTCTCAGTTTAATAAGTGTAATAAAAAAGCATCAAGTTCTAGGAAAAAGATAATAAACTTTTTTAGTAACAGTTCAGTGATCCACACGTGACTTCAGATAGCAGTCACTAGCTAGGCCATCGATATTTCATAAAATATCAATTAAAACTTTTTCAAGTACAGGGACGAGTCACACTTTATTGAAAACCCTAAAAAAAAGTTCCATCAATTATAGTCTCATTTTAATAAGTGTAATAAAAATGCATCAAGTTCTAGGAAAAAGCTAATAAACTTTTGTTTAGTAACAGTTCACTGCTCCACACGTGACTTCAGATAGCAGGCACTTAGCTAGGCCATCGATATTTCTGGTCTATATCCTAATCACCAGCTAAAGTCATTTCGTTTTTTATTTTTATTAGTTTTCCTACTTAGCATAAATGAATATTAATTTATGGAGAATTGTAAAAAGAAACCGCACCCGGCGATCATTATAAGTCGTAAGGTTTTTAGCATTTTTATGCTGGAGTTTTGTTTATATCTGTTAGCATTGTTATTATCGTTAATTTTTGCTGTTTATTTCCTTTGAGAATTTCTATGCCAATGTCTGGCCATAAAAAAGTTTACCCAATTTTTTTTTATTATCATTACTGGTTTTTATTTTTGTGAGTGTGTATTTTATGTATTTTGTTTGTATCATCGGGGATTTCATTGTGTTTTGTCGCTTCAGTTGAGGGGCCTGAATAATAGTTTCGGATACCGCCTAATATGCAATTAATTGGACATGAACTTGAACTGCGGCCGCAACGGGGGCGGGGTATGTCAATTATAAACAATTAGACAATGGCAAAATTGGTAACCAACCGATGGGAACGCGGCCCAAATGAGTGGGGAAGACTTTGGCAGAATGCTTCTGAATCTCAAACAGATTCGCAATTGTTCCTGGCTTATAATATATCTACATGTTTGTGTACTCTATGTACATTCTATCAGTCAGTCAAGCAGTCAGCGCCATCAATTTGTCTACGAAATTTCCAACAATTATGGCTCGGTCCAGGCAATTTTCAATAACGAAAATCTTTCTGTATTGAAGTGATTATTATTATTATTATTATTTTTTATTGTTATTACCTTCGCTGTGTACACACACGTACATTGGCGTTTGCTTTTTTTGTACACTCGCATTTACAACAAATTGCTTTATAATCGTCTAATGGTTTTACATCTCTTTCTTTTTACCTCTTTGCAGCACTTTTCCCTTGGGTTAATTGATTAACCAGGCCCAAATAAATACAAAAGGGAGCGGAGAACACAAAGAGCCAGCAAGATGACTGGTTTCACGAACGCCGGCTTCGAGAACGATGAGCCCGTCAAGGTGAGTGTTCCGTAGTGCCTTTTTTTTTTTTTTTTGGTTGGGTCTGGATTCCGGGGTCCCAAGTAGTTCTCTCCTCGGGGAGTGCTTACCTGGCTGCCACCTCCTCATTCATCTTGAACAAGTGCTGGACACGTCAACGTACCCATAATGAAATCACCGGCCCGCAAATCTTTGTAAACAAAGGCTGGCGAAAAGAAATCACGACTTATGGCTCATTATTTCGAGTTCTGCATAATTAAACGACAACTCTTCCTTAATTATTTTACATTTGAAAGCATCAGGAAATCCTATACCAAAGTTAAGGCGGGAACCTCAATGCGTTACTTAGTTCAATGGGTTGATTACCAACTAATTCCTTTTTTTTTTCCTTATTGCGTGCGTCCAAGGCTTTCGGATGCCGAGTTTCATAAAAATAGCTCACAAGGTTTCTTAGTTCCAACAGAATATCTAAGTTTATCACTATTTAAATAGTGGTACTACTGTAATACAACCCAGTTTATCCAAGAGTTCCATTAGCCCGGTAATTAGGTTTAGTAGGGTAATTACAAAGAGATCAACTAGTTTGCACATAGTTATCTTAACTGGTTTACCAATTTAATGGACCCACCAGCATATAGGAAGTCATTTCAATTAGTTCAGCTTTAATTGCAGAAAGAACTTGGCACTTTCTGCAAGCAGTGGTCTGGAGTGGAAATACCCAACCTAGACACACCTAGATCAAGTTTCAATCAAACAACTTGGGTATTTCCCCGGCTCACATAGAACTTTACGAATTGACCATAAACGCGGCCACTTGAAAATTGTTGTCACATTCGCACATAGTTGGCCGTCTCGTTTTTGGCATTCATTCATGCACGGAGTGATATAGCATATGGCTTATAAGCTGGATTACACTTATCGTTTTGTGTTTTTTTACCTTTGGTTTTTTGTGTAGCATTATATTTTGTTTTGATGTTGAGTTAATGGCTGTGTTTGCCTTCGACAAAGAAATCATGTTTTATAATGACACGCGTCACAGTTTCTATGATGGCCCTGTTGGGGAGGAAGTGTCCAATAAACCGAAAACCCGGGCGAACTGATGATGATCATTAGCATTTCGTTTGGCCACTCCTTGGCTTTTAATGAGGCGAAATAAATTTCACCTCAAGAAACCAAAAACCAAAAACCCAAATAATGAAAATCAAAAACTAAAAACCAAAAGCCAGAGACACAAAATCGAAAGACCCACGCGAGAAGGCAGAGAAGCAGAAAAAGAAATGTGACAGCAGAAAGCGCACACATATTTATGGATATGTCTTAGCCACGGACTTGGCCAGCCAGCTGATGGCCAACCGATTTGGCAATAAATAAGGTAACCAGAAACAGAAGAAACTAAAAGCCAGCCAGGCAAACAAACAGCAACTAACGACAGACAAAAACGTATTGCACAATTAAAGCACCGACAAGGTTTCATAATAAAATATTGCCAATTTACAATGGCCCCACCCCCTCGCAAGAGATACCCATGCCCCACCCTGTAATCGGTTCTTGAGAGACATCGAGTCCGAAACTCGTTTTCCTCGCTTTGGTCAACGCAGAACCGCAGCAGCCAAAAAAAAATAATACAAGATTATAAAAGAAACCAGAGAACGTCCAGCAAACATCAGACTTACAACGGCGGTCAGCAGACCAAGATTTAGGAAAAGATATAATATCTTTTATGGGCGAACTACTAAAGATACTTTCTCAGATATTTTTTGATATACAAAAATCTATTAAAAATGCAGGAGTCTGTAAAATATAAAATATATTTACAACGGCGGTCAGCAGACCAAGATTTCGGAAAAGATATAGTATCTTTTATGGGCGAACTACTAAAGATACTATCTCAGATATTTGTTCATGTAAAAATATCTATTAAAAAACAGGAGTCTTAAAAATGTTTATAAAATAATAACCTTTATCTTACATAGTTCAAAAATCTTAACTTACCTTAAAAAATAATCTTATAACCTTTATTTCAAGGTAATCCTTTTACTATCATCTGTTACTGATCTATTTTAATCATATTTTTATATGATTCTACGAATCCCTTATAGGGCAGCCTTATATGATTTTTTGAGGCCATTCTGCTGACCGTTGCTGTATGTAAAACACCAAAGCCAAATGGCATGTAAAATGCTGTGGTGAAGGGGATTTTCGGGGGGAAATGTGAGCAGAGCAAACACGAAACGTGCCGCGTTTAAAAATAAAACGCAAATCTCGTGCGGCGCAGCGCGTGCGCAACATGTTGCAGTAGGTCGCTGGCAACATGTTGCCGAATTGAAAGACTGTACACAGAAAAAAAAAATTAAAGGTTTTGGTCCAAGATTAGTAATTATTTATCCTACATTTAGCTTAAAATCACTTTGTGGCGTCCATTTAATATATTGTATTTAATACTTAGAATTTTGATTTGTAATTGATTTTTTTAATATTGTTATTTAATAGCCTACGATCAGTTATTTCAAATAGTTCTTGAATATTTTATAATTACTTCATAAGTTTTGAAAACAACTTTCTTGTTGAGATTCAATATATTGTATTTATTATTTAGAAATTTTTCATTTCTTTTTAACCAATTTTCTTAAGATTGTTTTTCAATAATCTCCTTCAAATTAATTAAAATATTGTAGCTGTTAAATAGTTCTTGAATATTTCATAATTTGCTTGGTTTCAAATATATATTTTTAAGAAGTTTTGAAAACAACATTGTGGTTACCAATCAACATAATGTATTAAACATTTGAAAATTTTTCATTTCTTTTTAATTAATTTTTTATTTGTTGTTTTTCAATAGTCTACGATGAATTATTTAAAATAGTTCTTGAATATTTTATAATTGCTTGACTTCAAATATATATTTTTCAAGAAGGTTTTAAAACAACTTTGTTGTTGCCATTCAATATGTTTTTTTTTTTTAATTATTGTTTTTCAATAGTCTACGATCAAATTAAAAAAAAAGTTCTTGAAGATTTTTCAAGAACAGTTTGACTGAAATTTCGAGTGCCTAATAAAGTGCTACGAATTTCTTCCGGTGCACCCAAGCAAGCACACTTAAGAAAATGTATACAAAATCAACACACACCTGCGGCCACACTCGAAGCGACGGTCCGCTCACCCGGCCGCTTTTAACTGGTTTGCGGCGGTTTTTGTTTGTCTCGGTCTCAACTAGCGGCGTCGCTGCCAACACTCTCGCATATCATTATGGCCCGTGTGCACTGGCATTATTATTACGCGCACTTGTTTCAAAGCTCCGCTTGCCGTTTCTTTGAAAAAAAAAATTAGTAAAAAAAAAAACTAGAGAAAAAATGGGTGAACAAAATTAAATATCAGCTGTTAGCGGGAAAAGCATGCCACACACACACACACACACTCGAAAGGAAAAACAAACACAGACAGTCGAGAGTGGTTTTCCAGTTGGCTTTTTGTGCATTGTCATGTTTGTTGCACTTTTTTTTCACCTACTTGCCATATGCTAGCCCACATTTATTTGCATATATCGCATTTGCGGTCTAACAATTGCAATCGATGGCAGAAAATCCCTTAGAGTCTATTAAAACAAAACATTTCGCTGGAATTCTCAATTACAATTAGCAGGAAAAGGCAGCTTCTGACCAACTGGGTGTTAATTACTTGGTTTATTAGTATATATTTTAATATATTAAATATGTAAAATGTTAAATACTTTGAGTGTTAACTGCATTTTACAACTATTAGATTGTAATGGATTTTTTGTTATGAAGCTTATATGCCAGCAATTTTTTATTACTGAACACAGGGCGTATGAGCGATGGCCGAAAGCTTTCTGTTTTTCTCCAGTCTGGGTTGCACTTTTTTATTGGCTCTTTTCACTTAACTTTTAATTCAGCATTGCTGCGTTTTTTACTTGCCAATTAAATGCGATATTTAAGAGTTCCAGGTATTATTTCTTTCTTTTTTCCCCCGTATGTGTGTTTGCTGACGTTTTTAATGGTTTTTTTTCGGTTTTTGTTTTTAATAAAAATTTAAATGCAATTTTATTATGCTGATAAGCAGCGAGGGGATTTTTGTATCTGATTTCAGACAGATCTGCAATTTGCATACAAACAAAACGGGGTTTCTACAGCCCCCCAACTCGTCCGATCTCTTGATTTCCTTAACTTTAAAATCGTGTGAACAGCGGTAACTATTATGTGCTGTAATTAAGTCCATATTGTTGCCAGCAAGTGGAAACAAAAAGTCAAGTGAGCTAAAATAAGCGAAAAAAAAACAAATTGTAATCGATTGGGAGACTTGCATAACAACGCGTGCGGGTTAAACCGAACCCCCTTGCGCAGCCGACGCCCCTGACTGCCGATGTAACCTTCTTGCCCTGTGCGGTGCATGCGAAATCGCCATTTTCGGTGTGGCTTTGGGCCCGGGTCTTGCTCTCTCGGTCAGTTCTCGGGACTCACCGGGCACTACGTCCATTTTGATGGCCGTTTTAGAGGTAATACAGGCGTTAGAGGCGAAAAACGGGACGCGCCACGCATGCGCAATGCGAAAAACGCGCGCGAAACGCGAGCAAAACGCGTGCGGGCTTTTTAAATTGTTATCGGATCAGTCCAAAATTTTTCCCCCTCGTGGTAGTTTTTTAGAAACTAAAAGCGTAAAATGCGCCAACACATAAATAATTAATTATTGTGTAGTGCGTTGGGCAGCAAACAAGACCAGAAAATGAAAGCTGTTGAAAGGAAAGACGAAGTGGGAATGGTCTATAAAAAAATATAGTAAAAACATAGAATTTGGAAAATTTCCTTGGATTCTTTGGAATCTTATAAATCTTCTAATAATTTTGAAGATGCTAGAAAATCTTATTTATATATTATTTCATTTTTTCTTTAAAAAAAAGTGTGATTTTTCCACATTTCCTTGTTTTATACCATCACATTTCTTGCCGTGCATTTTGTTTTACTGCCCAAAAGAAAATAAGTTTTGATTGTCCAGCATTTAAATAAATTTGCTTAACATCTGAAGGCATAACAAGAAAGTTAATGCTGCTCCGAAAATGCGGAGATAAGAAAGAAAGTAGGATCATGATCATCCATCCGCCATCCACCGCCCCTTTGCCTGGCTGCACTCCTCGAGATGGGAGATCTGCGATCTGCGATCCAAAGATCTGCGGCAACCAAAAACGAATACCGATCTGTTGTTGCCACTTTGCTTACGATATCTTTTCTTTGCTTGTTTTTCGTTTATTTTTAGCCAAAAGCTGGTTTCGAGCCCGACACCGCCTCGCTGCGAGAGAAAGTTGTGCTGAATCCGGCCGAGAAATGGCGCATCTTAAAGAATATCTCGATCATCTCGATCGCCTTCATGGTGCAGTTTACAGCGTTTCAGGTGAGCCAAAAAACGATTTCGAAATTTATGCCAATCGTTATGAAAAAATGATAAGTAAAGTTTTTATTGAAAAGATATCTTATGAAATCAATTTTAACAGAAATCAATATGTGTTTTTTATGTAATGTACTGTCTGTTTGTTACATAAAAAGCATTTTTAATATTTTCATAAATATTGCACTGAAAAAACAATGGAAAAATCAAAGTAAATATTGAATTGAATATTGAATTTAAAGTTCTTGTATTACATATTTATTTTGTTTATTTAATACAAATCATATTAAAATGCTTGATTTAATTTGAAAATATTTAAATCAAGTCAGAAAATATTTGATATGATGTTATTCATATTTACTTTAATGATTTTCTTTCATTAAATCCATGTTTAAAATATTTGAATTAACAATGATTTTTAAACTTAATATTTCCTTATTTATTTATTTTATTTGTATTAAAAGTAACGTTTTTGTATTTAATTCAAATATGTAATTCAAATCTGTGAATTCATTTATTCCAACGTTTTTTCATTGTATCTATTAAAAGCATGCTTTTCACTATTTCGAAATGTAGTGATATATAACTTACCAAATATATGCTAAATGGGTTTTCCATTCTAGGGTACGGCCAATCTGCAATCCTCTATAAACGCTAAGGATGGTCTGGGCACAGTCTCGCTGAGTGCGATCTATGCCGCCCTGGTGGTCTCCTGCATCTTCCTGCCCACGCTGATCATCCGGAAACTGACGGTCAAGTGGACCCTGGTCTGCAGCATGCTCTGCTATGCCCCCTACATCGCCTTCCAGCTCTTCCCGCGATTCTACACCCTGGTGCCCGCCGGCATCCTGGTGGGTATGGGTGCTGCACCCATGTGGGCATCCAAGGCCACCTATTTGACGCAGGTGGGACAAGTGTATGCCAAGATCACGGAACAGGCAGTGGATGCCATTATCGTGCGGTTCTTCGGCTTCTTCTTCCTGGCCTGGCAATCCGCTGAGCTCTGGGGCAATCTCATCTCCAGCTTGGGTGAGTTGATATATTATAGCCATTATAAGAAAACCATACGAAATTCCCTTTAAAGATGGTCATAAATATTGCAAAAAGTCAGCGACAATCTTATCAAATCATAAAAACTAGAAAGATTGCCTAGACTCTTAAATTAATAAAGTATTAGCTTGTGATTTTGGCAGCTACCGAAGATCATAAAACTAGAAACTACGTCATTTGAGAGCGATTACAGGGCATTTTTTACCAATCTTCGATAAGCGGTAATATAGAAAATATGAAAATTAGTTCAGAAAAGGCTTGTATTAGCCGTTTAAGGGCATACTGAAATATGTTTTTCTTGCTAGGGACTTTTTAAAAATATTTTACCCTACTAACTTGGTGTACCCTTATCCCTTTCAGTCCTCTCCAGCGGCGCCCATGGCGGCAGCAGCAGCTCGAACACCACCATCAGCGACGAGGATCTGCAATACTGTGGAGCCAACTTCTGCACCACCGGAAGCGGCGGTCACGGCAACCTGGAGCGTCCGCCAGAGGATGAGATCTTCGAGATCTCAATGATCTACCTATCCTGTATTGTGGCCGCCGTTTGCATCATTGCCTTCTTCCTGGATCCCCTGAAGCGGTATGGTGAGAAGCGCAAGGGATCCAACTCGGCAGCAGAGCTGTCCGGACTGCAACTGCTGTCCGCAACCTTCCGTCAAATGAAGAAACCCAACCTGCAGCTCCTCATACCCATTACTGTATTTATTGGCATGGAGCAGGCCTTCATTGGAGCCGATTTCACCCAGGCGTATGTGGCATGTGCCCTGGGAGTGAACAAAATCGGCTTTGTGATGATCTGCTTCGGAGTGGTGAATGCCCTCTGCTCAATCCTCTTCGGTTCAGTGATGAAGTACATCGGACGCACGCCCATCATTGTGCTGGGCGCCGTCGTGCACTTCACTCTGATCACCGTTGAGTTGTTCTGGCGCCCCAATCCCGACAATCCCATCATCTTCTACGCGATGTCCGGACTCTGGGGAGTCGGCGATGCCGTTTGGCAGACGCAGATCAACGGACTGTACGGGTTGCTCTTCCGCAGGAACAAGGAGGCCGCCTTCTCCAACTACCGTCTGTGGGAGTCCGCCGGTTTTGTGATCGCCTACGCCTACGCCACCACGCTCTGCACGCAGATGAAGCTCTACATCCTGCTGGCGGTGCTCACGCTCGGCTGCATCGGCTATGTGATCGTCGAGATCCTCTACAGGAAGAAGGTGAGTCCGGAAGTGGTGATATTATCAGGGCATCAATGGGTCATATGGATTTTAAGTATACGTTTTTACTTATAATTCTAATGAGAAGCTACGGAATTTACCGCTTTAAGCAAGTATTTAAAAAATGTTAAAAAAGTCTACGTCTTAAATTTAAATTTTCTTCTTAATTTGTAAATCATTTATTGTCCCATTTGTTTGTTTTTTGTTAAATGTTTATTGAATCGTATTAGGTTTTGCCTTGAATAGTGTGCCCAAAAGTAGGCAAGCTTTCGATAACTTATTGCAGGGAAATTGTTGTACAGGAAAATTCAGATATAAGATCATTTATAAGAACCAGTTAAAGGTGATACGTGATTATTTTTCTAAAACTTATGTGATTGTGACTATAATTTGTTTGTTAAACGTTTATTAGATTGTATTTGGTCTCGCCTTAAATAGTGTGCCCAAAATTAGGCAAGTTTTCGATAAATTATCGACTAAACTATATACAACCATGTATACTTTTTCCTGACTGTACTAGATAGCAAGATTTTTTTATTTCAAGTGCCTTAGAGATCCCTTCTTTAAATACCCCAAGAAGTAGGCTATCAAATTTGTATCTACTGAAAACTCACCATCTCTCCCTTATCCTTTGCAGCAACGCAAGGTCAAGAAGCAGGAGAGGTTGGAGGCCGCCGAGAAGGAGAAGGAGGCCGCCGCCGCCGCTGCAGCCGCCGCCGCCTTGGCCGCCGCCGAGGCAGGACCTGGTGGAGTCGAGGAGACCGACGACGAGCTGGACGATCTCGAGGAGGACATTGTGGTCACGCGCCTGTAAATGTTTTATTCTCCCCCCCCCCCCCCAAGTACACCCTCAATGCCCCACAAGTCCCTCACACACCCCACATTCCATCAAGTTATCGATAGATCGAGAGAGAGAGAACGAAAGCAAATATCAGGAGCGTCATCGATTCAAATGCAAAAAAGACAACAAGATTTAAAAAGAGAAAATGGAAAAATTCTATCGATAAAAATTAAAACTAGCATACCTATCGATCGACAAACACGCTCCGTGATCGATAAACAATACCAACTAGCGCCGATAGCAGGCCGGAACGCGTTGCATACTTTTGTGGTTGTAGTTTTGTAGTAGAACATTTGTACCCCTCACACCCGGAAACCCGCTCCAGCAAGAGAAAAACCATTTAGCTCAAAGTCCAACCGAGTTTGGCTTAACTTTAGTTTGTACATACAGAGAAGAGATCGAAAAGGGCGAAATGCAAATAATGCAAAGGCAGTGAGAAACCCCGAAAAATGCAAAACTTATGTGTGTTAGTCTAGGTGTAAGCACACTCGTACTTAGTTAATATGCACGCCTTAGTTTCAAATGTTGATTTATCGATGCATACTTATCGAAAAACAAGTGTAGATTCTTTATCGATTTATATTGGCAAAGTAATTTTCTTGTTTCCAAATAAGTACGTCCCAAAAGCTTTCACTGGTGAAATAGCAAATAGATATTTGAAATTCAACAAAATGTGATTATCGATAAATTAGGATTTGCAAATAAATCGTTCGTATGCACTTGGTATCACACAACCATACAAACACACGCACACACCTACACACGAGGCACACACACTGCAGCAGTGTGTGTGTTTACGATGCCTAACAAATTGTTATTTTATTTTAAAACGTATTTTAACTATAGTCTATCCCTAAACGAAAATTGTAATATTCCCCCTTTTTGTAAATTGAGTTTTTTGTTTTTTGAAAGAAAAAAACGTGATAATCTACACACGCCCACACGAAACACAAAAACAGTCACAAAAAAAAAACAATTATATGAAAATAGTCAAATTTGTAAAGATAAAATGAAACTGGCCTTAATAAGATATATATATTTAAAAAATATATATACTATAGATCAGTGCAAAAATGAAAAACAAACAGAACGAAGAGCAATTAATTAATATATAAAAATATCTTTAAATAAAAAAAGCAAAAAATCTAGTAGGCAAAATGTTATATACACATTTTTTGCTCAGTATTATGTTTTAAACTAAATTTAAGCGAGTTATTGTTTCCTGTTTATATTTTTTCGTAAACCCTATTGTTACGATTTTTTGTTTTTCAATTTCGAGTTTGATTTTTCTTATTCTTCAACAAACTCCCTGCGATGGCAATTAAGATTAAAGAGAAATCTAATGATATACCATAAACACATCTACAAACCAATATATATATATTTTTTTCGTTTTATTTAAACGTTTTACTTAAATATTAATGGAAAAAATACACACACAACACATTTGTGAGAAAAAAAAATTACAATAAATATTTTTCTTTTTTTTTTTTTGCTTAGCCTGTTAAGTAGTTCATTATATTATGTAAAATATATAAAATAAATAAATGAATATAAATCTAATTAGAATGAACTCTTTTACTGGGGAAAGTAAACGTGATTTGGTAATGTTCTGTCGTTACGCCCTAATTAGTTAAAAGCGTTTTTCTAACGGGCGACACGTAAGCGCAGCTAATTTTATATTATTTCTAAGTATATTGATATTTCCAATTATCATGTCGATTTCACCGACTGTTTGATACCCAGTACTGGGTTTTATTAAGTTCTACATCATGTTTTGGATATATTGTTTGATATTGTGGTGATTTAACATTTTTTAACATTGGATAGTATGTGCAGTCTTAATAATTGGATAACAATGATCTATTATACATTTGCATGGAAAAAAAAATCAGAACATAATTATATTGGATGATGAATAACATATTAAGATTTTGCAACTTGTGCTCAAACAGCTTTAAAGGTAACATTATTGTCAATGGTCCTATTTAGTAGTAAGACTCAACACAAACATTTTAAATTATATTAAATGTAATCTTCGATTTATGCTACGAGTACTGGACTTCGAATTGCCAGCTGATTTAGTCTAGATGGAGGACAGCTGCTCTTAAAGAACGATGGCCTCGTCCTCCTGGTATTGCTTGTTCTTGCGCCGCCGGTTGGACTTAATCTTGCTGAGCACACTGTACGCCTGTTGGATCTCGATGAATCGCTGGTGGGCCTGGGCCCGCAAGCCCTCATCCTTGACCTTGTCGGGATGGTACTCCTTGGAGAGTTTCCTGTACGCAGCTGTGATCTCCGCCTGCGAGGCGGTGGCACTCACGCCCAGCACCTTATACGAGTTCCGTTCGCCATCGACGTCCATGCTCTCGAAAACCTCCTTCCAGGTCTCGTACCAGCCGTGATGCTGGGCATAGTTATAGGTGTCCTGCAGGGCCTGCTTCAGATCCGTCCACCAGGCGGAGGCCAAGAAGTTATGGATGGCCTCGTGGATGGGCACTTCGCCGCCGTCCTCGTCCGAAATGGTGCCATTGAAGTACAGGAAGCTGCCCCAGAAGGCGCAATAGATGATAACGGCGGTGGTCAGCTTGAAGGTCCTCTCTCCGGGGCTTCCACGTCGCGGTGGTGTCCTACGCCACTGCTTGGACAAGCCATCAAAGGTCAATGCTGACACGAGACCAGTTAGCAGCAGGGAGTAGGTCTCGTCGTATATCAGATACCGGGCCGGATACGCCAAGTAGGCGGCCAAAAGGCAGTGCCACCACACGCCCTGCTCGCGACCAATGTTGCCCACCAGCCAAACGCCCAGGGATACAAAGAGCGGTATGGCCCAGTGCAGGAAGCTGAGGTCCAAACCGCCGACCAGCGTCTCCGGGATGGCCATGGAACACACCTGACCGAACAGGTGACCGATCATCACCTGGCCCACGAATCTCTTCGAGGAGTATGTTGGTTTTGGATAATCCTGCAGCTTGGCCACAAACATCTTGACGAATCGCGGATCCTCGTTGGCATCCCGCACATATTCGGGAATCAGGAAGAGCTCGCCCATCCATCCGATGCCCATGTAGCCGCCCAGGGTGCACCACCAAATGAAGGCGTGCCGATCGCGATGCAGGTACAGATGATGCAGTCCGAAGATCCCGCCGAAAAGCCAGCACAGATAGGCCACCACTACCGATTTCTGGGGCGGCAGAACATTCACCTCCTTGTTTTTACCCTTGCCCTGGATCAGGCTGCCATTGGACTTCTGTTTCGAGGGTGATCCGCCGGGGGAGTCGTTGGTTTTGGCCTTTCCCGTGGGGGTTACCGTCTGCTTGATGCCCATGGTGCTCCAAGGGGACTCCTTCAATTAAAAAGAGGGTAAAAACGGAATTATAAATTGAGTACTATGAAATATCGGAAGCTTTTTGCGGCGCTACCTATACAAAGGAAATGTTGCTTGTAAGCAAACTTGGTGTTTCATTATAAGTTCTTCTTATAATTCTAATATGTAAATTAAGAAAACTTTAAATCGGGAGCTATTTTCCCAAAGCTGGTGTAAGGTATTGTATTAAAACATAAGATTCTGCTAAAAATGTTAAAGTCTGCAGATGGTAGAGTTATCTTAAAAATAAAACACTTGCAATTTGCGGTTCCATAGTCTTATAGAAAAGATGTACAAATAATTGGTCTGACAAATTTAATTTTAAAAGCAACTTTTCTAACATATTATTTAAAACAATATTTATAAATATATGGAAGATAATAATATTAACACGGTGTAAGATTTTGAGTTGTAATATACCGACTTTAACTTGTTAAAGATCACAAAGACTTGTTTTTTATGTGAGACAAAATACATGCAATGCTAAAAACAAAATTAAAGATTTGCTGTTCGATAATCAAGACTCTGTATTCTACATAATTATGTTCGAAGATATGTTCCCTATATTTAATTTATTAAAAACATCATTATTTAAAACATCACTTTTTGGGTCACTTTCGGCAGGAGGTACTTACCCACACTCAATCGACCTCAATTTCTTGTGAAACTGTCGCTGCGCAGGCGCAACTTCTTGGCCACGACTGTAAGTATGGTAGAAAGAGAGGAGGCGAAAGAAGCGGCGAAGAACTTTCTCTTTTCACAAATTCTACGCACGCAGCCACAACAAAAGCAACAAATGGAGCCACAAGCACAACAAATATTAAAACACGTTAACTAATGCGTTCAATGTAAAATTGTTCTTGCTTGATTCTCAGTAAAATAATAGTTAAAACGACTAAAATAAAAGCAGCCGAAACGAATTTGCTGTTTTGCGGGCCGGAATTAAAATTGAATAAAAAATTCTGCTTTCAGTCAAGTGTGGCCAAAGCACAACGCACAAAAAATACCACAGATCTAAATGTACTAAAAAGTTTTGGGTGGAATGTATTTACTTACATGAAAATAATTACCGAAAAAGTGAAGTTTTAGATCGGTTTTTTAACTATATGAATTTTCAATTTTCAAATAATTGCCAGAACAGAATTTGATACATTTTTTTAATTTTAAACAAAAAACAAAAATTATAAATATGGTTACATACATATATGAAATCCCATTTTCTCATAAAAACACCCATTTAAAAATGAAATACTTTTATTAATTCTGTTTTTGTTTTCCACTTAATATGGCATACTTGCATATTTTGCATGGCTTACATTATAAAAAGAACTTTTGTTTTCGATAATTTGACACATTATTTGAGCTTTTACAATAAACTTAGCCTATGATTAAAGTATTAATAAAAATCAAATTCATTGGGGTTACCAACTAAAATTGTTATGAGAAATTGTTGATGGCAGATGTCTAAAGAAAATCTTTTGGAGATTTTAAAATCATACATTTTGTGTCAAACATTAAACATACAAATTAATATCTAGCGTTCTTCAAAACTTTTTTGACCTTTGAAATCTCCAGAAAATAATCAGCACACCTGCATACTTGTGTTGTAATACTTTCCTTTAGGATTAATAAATAGACGAGGCAAAAAAAAAAACACATCCGTTTAAGGGCTTACTTTCCGGAACCAGCTCCGGATTTAAGATGAGTGTAGTTGCTGGTCTTGAACGTTCGTCGCTTAGTTGTTCTTCTTCTTAGGCTTCTTGGGATTGCGGGAGCGCGACTTGGCCTTGCACAGCGGACAGATGGGCGCATTCCGGTGGATCTGCTGGTGGCAGGACAGACAGGACTTCATCGGTGGCGGCTGCTGGCGGAGATTCACATTGAAGTCGGAGCGGAACGAGGGATGGTGGCCGATGCCGATGGAGGGCGATTGTTGGAGTCGATTGCTGGGTGGCGGCGGCGGCGGTGGTGCTGAGAAGTCGCCCTTGCCCAGACGCACTGCAGCAGCGGCTGCGGCGGCGGCGGCAGCAGCACTTCCCGCTCCCGGCGGTGCGGGCGGCATGAAGGCGTGTCCCGGATTCCCGCCGCCAGCTCCACCGCCTCCCACGGATCCCCCGCCACCGCCTGCTCCTCCGCCACCGCCGACGCCTCCCTGCCCACCGGCCGAGGGTAAGGCCGTTACCGTGGCCTCCGGCATCAGGGGATGCCTGGCATGCGGACGGGCCAGCGATGAGTTCTGATTAACAGAGGCCGCCGCCGCTGCTGCAGCTGCTGCTGCTGCCGCCGATTGGGCAGCCACCTTGAGGAAGTTGGTCTGAAAGCGATCCTTCGAGATGGGGCTGCCCTCCTCCTCGTGCAGGTCCCGCAGAGGACTTAGACCAAGGTAGTCCCGCCGCATGTGATCGATCTGATACTTGAGCGCCAAGTACTCCTCGTACACCCGGTTGGCCATGTCGAAGGAGCGCGTCTGGTTCTCCTTCGTCTGCTTGATGATGTTCTCCATGTCGTTGATGTCCGCATGGATCTGGCGCAACTCCTCCACGTGCGACATCTTCTCCTCGAGCAGGTGCTCCATCTCCTTGCGGTACTCCTCCAGGCACTTCTCCTCGTCGTCGCTCAGCTTCACCTCCTTGATGATCCGCACCTTGAGCTTCTCCAAGGACAGGGTCTTGTCGCGAATGTCCTTGATGGCCTCCAGTTTGGCGTAGTAGTGCCGCTCGTTAGAGCTCGAAATCTCGCTGGTGGCCATTGTGGATCCCAGACGCTCCGTGTGGTATTCTTCAGCTGGAGTAATGTGTATTTTCGGAAGACTCTCGAGTGTTCTCACTTGGCCCCCTCCCCTGGCCGAATGTTTATTTTGCCCTTTTTCACAAGCCTAATGGTTTCGGATGGGTTTCTTCAACTGCTCCTTAAGCATCTGACGCAGTGGATTCAATTTGGAGCAGTTGTCCTGATCAATGAGCCGCTTTTAATTTATTTCTTCCCTTTTTTTTATTTTTTCGCTGCTCTGTTTTGTGTATAGTAGTTAGTGATGTGCAATTTTCTCAATGTTTTCGTACTATCGATATGATGCATCGATGTTCTAAGAAAAATCGGCGGTAAAAATATACCAAATCTATTGCAAAATATATTATTCTCCAAAATTAAAAAACTTTGTTGCTCTCGAAAATGATAATTCAAAAGTTTTTTTATTTAAATTCTAAATTTGTTTAAAGAGTTGATTAGCGCTGCACTACCAGTATGACCTTCCTATCGGTTCAATAAGGCACTGTCGAGTTGTCTATCTATGGTTGGCGCCAACATTCTAAGTCGATTTATGTATTTTCAAATATAATATAATATGTAATTATAAACCCTATAATACCATTTTAAAATAAAAAAAAAGTGCACTGGTTATAGTAATAGATACAAATGTTATTGTTTTTCAATGACATAAGGTGACTACTCTGATTTTCAGTAATTCAACAGTTTCGAGGTTGTTAAATTGCTGAAATTTTTGAAAATAGAATAGCTTTATAAGCTGACCAAAATTCAACAAGTAGGGAACACACTAAATATTTAGAAAATCTGTACAAAATTCACCGCACATTGGTGAAAAGCCGAATCGAAATATTGCTAAGAAAGGCGACAAAATGATTCTGGCAGAAAAATGGGGCCAAATGATACCTCAACATTACGATTATAATTTTTATTTTAAAAACCAAGCCTGTGAATTATTTTTGATTTTTATTTCAAAAATCCTTGAAAAGATTTATTTGTGATTTTATTTAAAAAAGTCAAAGATATTAATTATTTTCAATTATTATTCAAATGTTTCAAAACTACAAATTATTTGGGAAACTACAAAGTGTTTTTGCTGTAGCTCCCTCAGTTACAAAGATATTGCTTAACACCTTATAAGGCTTATATTTAAAAAACCGCTAAGGTTAATAAGGGTATTCTGTAAGCTGTTGCTGAATCGTTGAATTTGGTATTTAAACGGTATTTCTTGAAGCTGAAGTGGTATTTAGTGGTACTATTCTTCGGGTATATGGTATTTTCGAACGTTATCGGTGCGGTCACGCTACTGGTTGGGCGGTCGGATCGGTCGGAAAATCGGGATTGGGATCGAAAAGCGGGGTTTGACTTGGGACAAAGAGTCTTGTTCTGGTCATGGTTTTCCATCCGCGAATTGACAACTTTTGTTGCGCACGTAAATGTTGGTGCTGGCAATAGACACAGCGATCGCGAGTGGGAGAGAGACAAACAATGCGTGCTGCGCGTGTGTGAGTGAGACATTCCGCAAGTGATTCATTCCGCAAAAATAATAAATAAATAAATAAATAAAACTAGCGGTGCAAACTGGGGCGAAATGTTTGTGGAAATGTGTCAACAAGTTGGCTCCGCAAAGTATCTGTGCAATATCAATATGTGTGGGAAATCGTTTTGATTTTCGAACGACTCTTTACTTCAGTCTTTGTTTTCGTTTTTTATTGTTGTGCTGTGTGTTGTGAATAAAAAAAAGGGTAACTTAAGTTAACCACGCATAAATTGCATACGAAATTTGGACAAGGAAAAAGCGAAAGGTAAAAGCGATTTTTAAATGGATTTTTTGAAAGCCGACGTTTCGTTGGCTCTCTTTATTTGTAAGGTTTTTGTATCTCTCAAATGCGTTCTAATCAATTCGTCTCAAATATACGGGTAGTGTGTTTAAGTTGGTGGGTTTGGTTGATCTTTTTCGACACAGCCCTCTGCAAAATAATAGAATCGCTCAAAGTGCATTTACTGGATTATTGGTGTTATTATTATTTAAGAAATTTTAAATTTATCAGATAAGTTTAATAAATATTTTGAAAGATTTTTATCCTTATTTTTACAAATTATTGAGATTTTTAAAATATTATTTTTAATATACGTAAGTAATTTTTAGACTACCTAGCTAGTTTAAACTATTTATTTTTTAGGTCTTTGTTTATATTTACTAAGACATTTTCAGACTACCTAGCTATTTGTAACTATTTGTTAGTATTAACAAAAATATAAAACAAATATATTAAAATATTATTTATTAATTATTTTTTAAACTACTATTATTTTGGTCACATCTGTGTTATATGACAATTTTTGACACACATATATTTCGCTTCTAACTGCTTATCACTCTTATTTGGCGATAGTGTGTGTGAGGGAGACAGGTGCCACCTGTTGCTTCTCTTCTCTTCTAGCCCTCTCTTTCCACGCATTTTATTGGTGTTCTTAATTGTTTGGCAATTAAGTCAATTATAAACATATTAAGACAGCCGACACACATTCCCCGATTTAGTTTAGTTTTCAATTTGACTTTCGCAGACAAACCAATAACCCATCAATTCAAGGGAAAAGTCACGAAATTGGGCCAAACAAATAGAATCGCTCTTAAGATCTCATAGTCATAATAATAAATAAACAAACATTCATAAGATACAGAAAGTATATCTAATAAAAATAACCCATGAATTGGCGACTATTCTAAATTATTTTGCGATTAATACTTTCTAAATATATTATTTGATATTGAAACTTAATATAACATATATGTAAATATATAGTTAAATTAAAACTTAAAAATGTAGAAACTATTGAAATATTATAAACATAAGATTAGAAAGCTATAGATTTTTCTTGATTACAAAATAATTGCTCAAGTATAAGCGTTGTTCAAATATGTAAACATTTTTATATGATAAGAAATACAACTTTGGAACTCTTATCTCTTAAAATACTAATATTTCATATCATAATGGATTTTCCTTGCTGTTAAAACTTGACCATTCATCTTTTTCTCTACCACTATAAATGTCATAGCATTTCGAATTCCTCTATTAAAGATCGCTGGCAAAAGGAGTTACAGATGAACGTACTGCCTTCACGTATTCCCCCTTTAATGCCATAATGGTAATCCCGGTAATCAAGTGTCTGGGCCCTCTGCTACTCCATCCCCTCCAACGATCATTTGGTAGACTCTTCTTTCTACCTGTCTTTGCTTTTTTCTGTGTGTAAATCAAATCACAAATCGATGGCAACTTACATACGACAAAAAATGCTGTCAAACAACTTGGAAATCGAGTCGCGAGATCGCTTAACCCCACTTTGCCCCCCGATTCTTCGGGGCTCCGGTCTTATATAATTGGGGCCATGGAAGCGTTAAGTCGAGTGTGGAACTATCTGTGCCCATTTCCTCCAGTTTTTGTATTTTTTGCACCATGAATACGATCCGGGAATGAGGGACGAACAGTTAACTCAGCTTATTTTTACTGTCGCAGCTCTTATCGCGCTTATAAACATAAACAAAAACAAAGCTCGAGCGCAGTCCATGAATCACACAGACATCTTTACAATGTACTTATATGTATATGCATATATAATCGGAGAAAATATCATACCATCTCTGTCTCATATCATCGATATCATTCGTAATACCAATATTATCAATATGTATTATCTTAAGTATTTTCATTTTATAATATCAATTCTTTTTTAGAACTTATGTACGTCCTATTATTTAACGATACTTAAACTTTCAAATATTTGTAATGGAGCTGTTATTTGATGATGGTGGATTTTTTAAACTAAAAAGTCAAAAATTCTTGAGATTTCTTTCGTATAATACCAATATTATTACATATTATCTTAATTTTTATACATTTTGTAACAATTTTTTTTTATAACTTACGTCTTATTTGTTTAATTTCTTTAACACTACATAAATATCCCAAAATAAAAACCATTACTATACTTAAACTTTTAAATATTTGTAATAGAATTGTTATTTGATGATCGTGTAATTTCGTTCAAACTAAAAAGTAAAAAATTCTACAGATTTTTTTTGGTTTACTGTCGTATAATACATTGTGTATTATCAATTGCTTTTTATAACTTGCGTCTTTTTTATTTCATTTTTTTTAACACTACATCAATATCCCAAGATAAAAAAAATTACATATTTAAACTTTAAAATATTTGTAACGGATCTGTTATTTAATGATAGGTATTTCTTTGAAACTAAAAAGTCACAGATTCTAAAGATTTCTTTCGGTGAACTGTCGAGTAATAAAAATAAAATCAATATGTATTATCTCTTGTTATTTAGTAATATCACTTGTTTTTATATTTTGTTTTAATGTTTTTTTTTTAAATTTTTTTTTTGTAACGGAAATGTTTTTTTTTTGAATTACTTGCAAGCTAAAAAGTCGCAAATTCTTAAGATTTCTTTCTGTGCACTATCGTATAGCCATTGCACTTGGTCCATGGAAACTGCTGTAATTAGCAAAACAACAATGCAACAAAAGAAGAAAAGCATAAATAAGTAAGGGGAGAACGCAAGTGATTCATGCGAGTAAATGACGATCCAATTGCAAATGCGCATGAATGCATCACTTTATTTGCATGCAAACATATAAAAATGAATTAAGTCCGTCGGCTTATTTATTGCACATATATAGATATATATATTTGGCCAGGTCAAATATTATCGCAACGGAAGTATGGCTTATTAGATCTTATAATTGCGCAAAATATTAGAGTAGGGAAATATGATAATCGATACATATGTATATCAACGTTGGCTTAAATCAGCTCAAAATATATTTTTAGTCAAGCCAGTTGTTATAAAAAAAAATAACTTTCGAAATGAAGAAAAAAATTACATAAGTTAGAAATCAGAGTGACCTTTCATATTTTATTAAAACTAGAAGCTATGAATTACTTAACTTATAGGGTCAAACACACACAACTCATTTGAAAAGGCTTTGTAAATAGTGCGCCATCGATTTTGAAACCGCTGATAATGTTTTCCAAGTTTAATTGAGATATTTCAACATTTCCCGACAATAATGACAGGCTGATAAGTTTTAAAGTAAAGCTTTAAAAGAAGAATAGTCTTGTGACCTTAATATAAAGAGATTTCTTAAAAGTAATATTGATATCAAGAATGCATTTATTGCTTTATCGGGAAATATCCATTGAAAACCCCTATGGGACTTTCACTTTCGTTTTCAATAATGCGCATTGGGGAAATCAATCAAAATAATTGCAGTTTCCATTTTGTTGATAAAGCAAGAGTTTTGATTTGTGTATGGATCCCTCCATAATTCCAAAGAGCCACCAGGCAACTGTCTATAGCTGGTCATTCATGATCTATACCGGCACTCAGCGCTATATAATTATCATTGTTGGTTGGCTCGACATTGTTATCGCTCTTTCAGTCCGGCCACTAAAAATACGAACGATATCTGAACAAACGAGTATATATAGGGAGAGAGTTTTATACTATAAGAGGTATATGCACAAGGTACAATTCGTAACCATCTCACCACACTAAAGTGTGACACATTTTTGTTCTATCTATGGGGACGATAAATGGAAAACAAATAGTTAAAACAGTTCCTAACACTTTTTCTAGTTAGGAAATTAAAAAATAATGAACTTACATCAAGAAAATCAAAGGATTGATGAGTTCCTAATAGATGGATATTATTTAGATTGCCAAAACATATAAACTTATATTTATTTATATAGAATATATCATCTGAGAAAATTTCCATGCTGTTTAAAAATATTTTATTTTCCAAACTTAAACCTATGAAACGCACTGTACTCAGAATTGGATAGTGGAATATGGATTGATGAGTGTGTGTGGCAAAACAATTGATTCACTTGGTCAGCACTATACTATACTATACGAGTTCATATTCTACGTTGTGTGAGAGAGTGAAATTTGAAATTCGATTAATCATCGAAGAGAAGACACGAAAAAGCGACGTAGAAGTAGTTCTAGTTGATATTCCCGGAATACAATATAGGGTCCCCATACAATGTGAGTCATCCATCAAGTTCATTCATCCAACTTATCCGGCGCAATGGGCAAAGCGTAGAGCCCCAGCGACAATAACCGCAACAATGGATTCGTTTAAACTTTAAACGTTTATAAACAAAATCATCGAGGTTAAGGGAAGTGGACTTGTGGAGGAAAACTCCCATTTGAAGTGGGGCGATCACTTAAGCGACAACGACAGCAATTCCCGGGCTCCCCAGATGGTCCATCTGATGCCATCTGATCCGATCTGACATGGTCTGGTTTGGAGCCCCCACTTTGGACTCTGTCGAGAGTTGAAAAGTTCAGGGAACTGCAATGGACTTACGACGAAACAATGGGAGGGCTCGAGGAATTAAGATCGTCAATGAAGTAGTGATGTAAACAAGTCTCAAATGCCAGATCCTTCACTCGTAAAAATGTTATTGCATGAAAGTATACAGTGGGTCGGCGATATGAAAAATGTATTACAGATACTATAGAGAAGTTTATTATTATATGAATGAATTCATAAACATTCAAAACCGCATTTATTTATTGTAACAGGAGATTTCTTCGAAATAAGCTTCATTATGAGAACTGTATTCTTTATTTGTCATTTTTAAAGAGCCCCCTAATCCTAGTTCCCTAAATATTTATTTTTCTTAAAAATGGCTGACTTTCTGTGCTGGCAATTTAAAATTTGCTGATAATTGCGCTTGAGCTTGGATAATGTTTATTCAAATCTCTGTTCAATTCCAACTGAATAAATAATCCGCTGAAAATGCTGACTTTCAAAGCGGAAAGTGAAAGCGCCTCTGTGAGTGGGGGGAAAAATGAATGATGACCGATCAAAGGGGCGATTGTTGATCGTCCCAGAAGAAATGCAAACACGTGTCTTTAATTTCCGCACTCTCTGCGTTTTTTATATTGTTTATTTGCCTCGTTGGCACTCATTATGTGGCCACTTAAAAATTGCAAATACTTGGGCATAATCTAAGCGTAAATTATAAATCTAAATAAATTATGAGCTAATTGTTCGGATTGTTTAACTCGAGTACTCCAGCCGCCTACGGGCGAGGGCCAATCGGATGAGTCTGCGCTGCTCCAGTTCCTGCAGTTGCTGCTGGACGAGCAGGCGATGCAGTAGCTCCACTTTGGCGTACTCCTGGGCCTTCAGTTGCACCCTCCTCTGTTGCTCCTCCGCAAAGGCCTCCATGGTCCTGGAGATCGCACTGGAATGCATATGTGGCTCCTCCTGATCCTGTTTTGAGTGGTTCCAGCAATTGATCTGGATGAACTGCAGCAATAGATGGATCAGATGGCTCCAGAAGATCAGTGAGGATTGATAGAACTCGGATAGGCTGGTGGACATGTCGATGGTTCGGTTGACTGGTGAAGAGTGTGAGGTGTCAAGATTATTATAGGTCTTATATACTAGACGGGGTTACCTAGGAATCTCAAGGAGGTAGGTACCAAAAGTCAAAGGGATTACCTGTAAGACAAAAAGTTTTTTGGGGTAAACCCTTTAAGACATCCCCAAAAATCCCCAGGTAATCCTGGAAGTCAAACAGGGATCTTAAGTAAAATTAGGTTAAACCCCATTTTCTACCATATGTAGGATTCGACGGATTAACCTTGCAATATTTGAAGATATTATATGGATCAAAAACACTTTATTACCTCAGAGTTATTTCAAAAGTCATGTTTTTGCTTGTTGTCTAATAGGTTCTACCTAAGTACTTTCACGTATTTGCCAGAAGATATTTCTCAAAAATGGATATTCAAGATATAATATTCCAATAAAGCGATGAAACAACAACATATAACTCTGTGTATTAATAATAGTATGATGGAATTTGTACTCAACAGATTATAATAATAGTAATTATTACACAAAGAAAATTTCTGAATAATGAACATATAAAGCGCGTCATTTGACCTCTGTTACTTTTCTTAGTAAATGAGCGATATGTATTATTATAACCAAAATGATGTTATATCTATTGATTAAGTTATTTTGCGTATTTTTTAGGTTCCGCCATGGAGCCGGCACGCCCTGTGCCCGCCCCCCGCCGTCTTTATCCGGAGCTGCGTCCCGCCAACTATGAGAACATAGAGATCCGACCACCCAATAGTGGAGGAAACAATATCAACAACAATAACATCAAGAAGCTCAACATAAATGCCGAGAATCTGCATGGAAATCTGGCAGAGAAGAAGCTGCCGTCGAGTGGACAAAACAAGTTGATCCTGCAGGAGAACAATTCGGACAGTCAGCAACCGATCTATGGTCCGGATGCCAATGAGAATGTCCAGGAGCCGGTGTATGCGACACCAAGGCCTGCTCCACGCCAGCGATTGCCGCCAGCAGAGGATCCGGATGCGGATCCGCAGGACGAGGATGAGGTGCCGCTGAGGATTCTGCGGGCGGCGCCACAAGTCCCGCCCAAACCACTTAACATCCCACTTGACCAGCGAGCCTCCATCTGCAGCGAGCTATCCACCACCAGCGTTCAGATGCTGGGCAGGACTGATGAGGATCGGGAGGGATCGCGGTATGCATCCAATGCGTCGCTGGACTGCAGCGAGAGCTCACACAGCGGCAAGTTCAAGTCGCAGTCACCTGGGTACGTAGACGCCATCGATTCATCCATTCCGCAGTCACCGGATCCAAGCGGGGAGGATCCACAGCCAGATTCATCCGCAGAACAGTCCTCCGCCTCCGGCAGCCAAGAAGGCGACGATGACAAGTAAACATTGACCACCGTTTCCACGTTTCCACCCTTTGTCTTGCACTCTCCTAAGTTTTTTGATGGGTTTCCCCTTTGTTTTTGGGTTCCAAATGGAAGCTAACAATACACAAAGTATTTTTGGTATACTTGGTTGATTACAACATTTAAAAAAATATTTTTTTTAATTATCCCATTTTTATACAAATATTTAATAACAAATATTGAAATTTTCTTAGTTTTTTGATGGGTTTCCCCTTTGTTTTTTGGGTTCGAAAAGGAAACTAACAATACACAAAGTATTTTTTGGTATACTTGGTAGATCCCATTTTAATACAAATATTTAATAACAAATATTGATACTTTCTTAGTTTTTTGATGGGCTTCCCCTTTGTTTTTTGGTTCGAAATGGAAACTAACTATACACAAAGTATTTATTTGGTATTTGGCTATACACTTGGTTGATTACAACGTTTTTTAAAATATTTTTTTTCTAAATATCTTATTTTAATACAAATATTTAACAACAAATATTGAATATATCATCAGTTTTTTGAGGGTTTCCCCTTTGTTTATTGGTTCCAAATGGATAATAACAATATACAAAGTATTTATTTGGTATTTGGGTATATAAATGGTTAAATACAACATTTAAAAAATAAATGTTTGTAATTATCCCATTTTAATACAAATATTTATTTCCGTGCACTCAGAAAAAACGGGAAGTACATTTTCTGTTAAGGCTAAAGTAGTTCGCACAAAACAAGTTTTAAAATAATAATATTAAACATATTTCAACACTTTTAGTATATTTTACTCACGTTGCCTATCTTTGCGTTAACGGTTTCATTGGTTTTAATGTTTTTTTAATTTTTGGTTATGGTTTTATTTAATGTGCATCAACAATACAAACATAGCTTTAAGTAAATATTTGAAGCCAAAACAAGCCTCATAAAATAATCACTTTTTTGTGTTGGCGTTGCTATACAAATTTGCTAGAATTTTTATCTGGTTTATATGGTCTTCTTTTGGATGATAGTGGCTTATCGAGAATTTTTGAGGATGTTAAAAACGTATATTAAAATAGAGAGAGACTTAATGTCGAACATTTTACATAACATAACCAAAAAAGACAGCTGTTTCCCAAATCATTTGCGTATCACTTCCATTGTCTAGCGACTATATTGGGACTAGGATAAACCCCTGAATTGGTAACATCCCTTTTGATTAATGTACAATTCCAGCGTAACTGTAGCGTGTGCCCCTGTTTTCCCCTCCTATTTCTGGGTATTTCTTTCCGAGATCACTTCCGCCGCCCTCTCCATCGGTAAATCAAGTTGGGGCCGTCAAGGGATCCGTCCTTATAAATAGCCTGGCGTCTGTTCAAGATCAATGACAAGCGGTTCTGGCTAAAAATAGAGGAGCGGAGAATCTTAAGATCGTTTTTCACACTCCAATCGGAGTTTTGTGTGGTCGGAAATGGTTTTCAAGATCAATCGTTGGGAATTCGCGTTGAGGGAAGGAACTATCTGGGAATCGTTTGAAAATAAACAAAGCACTTTGAGGTATAAGGGAAAAGCGTTATATTTATATTTGAGAATTGTTTTTCCTATTCTTTTTTATTAACTTCTATATGGGTGTATTTTTTATGGGTAAGGGAAAAGATTTCTTGATAAGACTTTTCTTGGTTTTGGCTCTTCATTTAAAACACTAAATGTTTTCTTAAACCTTATTTGATGAATATTTTAAAGAAAATAATAGTAATAATTACCTTGGTTTCCAGACTCACAGATTTATGCTGTTGAATATGATCCCCCATTGAAAACGATACTTTTTGTGGTCTAACAATTTTTGCTTGTTTTCTTGGATCTTTTTTACTAACTCCACGGAATCGGGACACTTTTGATCACCCTTAGCCAAAATAACTAATGAATCACCTGCTTCCTTAGCAACCTACTGCGCTCGCTGGGCACCACATCCAAACTGCTGGGCGAAGCCATTGGCGAGCGGATCCAGTTCAAGGCCAAGGGAGCCAAGAAGCGGCTGGACAGGAACCTGAAGAGCTCCTCGGAGGCGATCAGCACCCTGGGCGCAGACGCTGGCCGGAGTTTGAAGCACGCCGGCAAGAGATTTGGCTCCAATTTCAGTCTGGGCAGGACCAAGGACAAGCCAGAAGTGGGCGGAAAGGCGGAGGGATCAGGGGAAATGGATCTGGACAGGCGGCGGACGATGCCCAACACGGAGGTATTCAATGCAATCCAGTTCTCCAGTCCACTCAACCGGAACGGTGGTCTCTCCGATCTGCGGGAGAACGAGTCGAAGCTGCAGAAGGAAGCGGAGGAGGATGACGGCTGCTACGAGGTGCCCAAGACGCAGGGCAAGCCGCCCAGCTACGACGAGGCGCTGCGGTCACGTCCCTCGCCCAGTGCCTCGCCGCTGGCCAAGAATCTCGCCCAGGAGGCCGCCCAACAGGTGCAGTTGCGTAGCCAGCGCCAGCTGAGCACCAGCTCCTCGAACGGAGACGACTCGCCGCGTCTGCCCATGCCCGCCTTCCCGCCACCCCGGCTTTCCCAGCAGCCGGAGCAGTTCCGCCTGGATGCACTGCAGCCGCCGGTGCGTCAGAAGCGACGCAAGAACTACGAACACATCGAGCTGCGGCGTCCGCCCGTGGACTCCGCCCAGCTGGAGGAACTCAATCGGGCGGCAGCAGCCGCCGAGCGAGAGGAATCCCTGCTAATCTCCGCCAAGATTGCCGAGGAGGAGGCCAAGGCCCCCAAACCCGAACGTAGCGATTCCTGGGAGTTCTACGGCGAGGACGAGAAGGAGGAGGACGACGAGGATGAACAGGAGGAGGGCAATTCCTCACCCGAACCGGTGTACGCCAACCAGGAGGCTACCTATGGAAAGCTCTTTGAAATGGCCACCGCTGGCAGCAGTCGCAGCAATGTGCTGACCCCCAGCCAGGTGGCGGAGCAGCAGCAGCTGGCCTGCATCACCGAGGACGCGGAATTGGATGGCGGCGAGGGAGCTGTGGGCGGAGTTCCGCTGCCACTGGCGCTCATCCAAGAGTTCGACCCGCTCAGCAGCAAGAGTTCCACCCTGGCCAGGTCCAACAAGAGCAACGAGCTGTTGCTGCTGGAGCATCTGCTCGAGGAGGACACCTACGGCACGGTGAAGGCGGAGCAGGACGATGTGAGCATGTGCACCTCCGAGGAGGAGCCCACAACGTCTGTTGCCACGACAACGAAGCCACAGCAGCCGCAGATCGTGCACCAGAATGCCCACCTGCTCAGCGACAGCATGGAGAACATGTTGGACTCGGACCAGGAGCGGATCAGGGACGAGGAGCGAGCAAAGCCCTATCTCAGCCGAATGCCGGAGGCGTCGAGCAAGAACGGTGGATCAGTGGACTTGGCCAGTGCCTCGAGGAACCGCACCAATTGGTTTGTGGCGGAAAAGGCGGGTGGCTCTGACGCAGCCACACCGTCCGGCGCCAAAACCACATCAACCATCGAGGGCGACAGCCCACCCACCTACTTGGAGGCCATCGGGGGCAGCAAGGATGCAGCCGGCGGTCAGGAGAAATGCTCCACCATCGGGTCTCGCATCCGGCAAACCATGAACGCCATCTCCAATGTGAAGCTGCGCATGGACGCCATGAAGCGGAAGGCCAGCTTCCGTGGTGCCAATCAGCGGCAGTCGGACGTCCGGGTGGCCCTCCAGATGGTGCCCCGACCCAGTCTGTCGCCCCTGCTAGTCCGCTACGAGGGTCCGCTGGTGCGTTTCCCATCCGGCGTTGTGGAGGATATACTCAAGGAGATGCAGAACCGCAAGGCCATCCTGAGAGACCGCCAGTTTCAGACCTTCCTCGACCAGGAGATGAAGACGCCCCGGGAGATGATACCCCTGGACACGATCACCACGCTGCAATGCGTGAGCAACAGTCGCGTCACGGACACGGCCACCCATTTCTACTGTTTCGAGATCACCACGTCGCAGCCAAAGAACGGCAATGGAGCCGGCGACACCATGTCCTCGAATCCCAATCTCCTGATGACCAGCAGCTCGTCGGGCAATGTGAAGCAGCAGCGGGTCTCGCATCTGTATGGCGTCGGCAAGGAGTCGGAGCGCGGCGTCTGGATGCAGAAGATCCTCGAGAGCCTGACCAACAGCCTGCCGGTGAAGTACACCTGTCACTACTATCGAGCCGGATGGTGTTACCTCAAGGTGAGTTCTTCGATTCTCCCAACTGACCTTTTTAGAGGATTCTAATTTAATTAATTCGCAGAACTCCATCACCTCGGAGTGGAGTGGCACCTGGTTGGTGCTCCGCAAGAGCCAGCGACGCCTGATCTTTGTGACCGAGGCCAATGGCAATGTGGAGAAGATGGACCTGCGCAAAGCCCGCTGCATAGGTAAGGGATCCTTGAGAGAAACCCAAATAGTCGGCCCAAACTAAACGCAAGCATATCTTCCGAAACAGTGCTGAAGGAGAGCGACGAGTCCATTGACAATCTGCACGTGGAGAGCGGTCCCATGCTGATGATCGACTGCCCACCGTACGCCGTCTACATGATCATGAGCTCCGCCCGGGAGACGAAGATCTGGCGGCACATCATCCGTGAGGTGGCCCACAACAATGGCTTCTCGTTGGGCGATCAACAACTAACGCGCTACGATGTGCCCGTCATCGTGGACAAGTGCATAAACTTTGTGTACATCCACGGTTCCATGTCAGAGGGTATATACCGCAAGTCTGGATCGGAGAACTCCATGCACAAGCTGATGAGCGCCTTCCGGGCGGACGCCTTCAACGTGGAGATCACCCGCAACGAGTACAACGAGCACGACGTGGCCAATGTCCTGAAGCGCTTCATGCGCGACCTACCCGAGCGATTGCTGGGCAAGCTCACGGACAGCTTTGTCTTTGTCACGGAACTGGCGGTGGCCACCGAGAAGATCCCCATCTACCGGGAGCTGCTCAACAGGCTCTCGGCCATCGAGCGCGAAACGCTTCGCCGGATTGTGGGCCACCTGGTGTTCATCAGCTCACAGCAGGCCAAGAACAAGATGAGCGTCCAGAACTTGACCATGATCTGGGGTCCCACGCTGCTGGCCAAGAAGGTAAGGGAGGGTTTGGGTTTAAAGGGGAGGTTTGAAGTGAGCAATCTTTGCGACTTTTTTCCTTTGGTTCCAAATCTTTAGAGTCCATTACTCTTTCGACCCCAACATAGGGACTTTTTTTTATATTTTTCTTGATTTGGCATTCATTAAAATATATAATATTATTATTATAACACTTATTATTGTGATATTATTATATACAATAATTCTTTAAAGTTCCAAAAGATATATACTTGCCATTACGTAAGTTTTTTACGCTTCTAGTTGGTAGTGAAATGATTTACTATGGAAGACATACATACATATATCAGCTAGAATTGTTTAAAAAAAGCTTAAAAAGGTTGTTTATTGTATTTGTTTTTAATTTTCCAAAGCAGTTTTTGACATTTATGTTTTAGAAATATAATTAAAATAGCTTATTTGTATTCAACTTTAACTTATAACTTACCCAAAATTTAATCCACAGAGCGACGAGCTGATCTACTCACAGAAGGAAGCGGATGTGCTGAGCGATCTGATAGTGCTCTACAAGAATCTATTCCCCTGCAGTGCCGATGAAATGGTGTGCTAACCAAAAGATTGATTTATAAATGTGAGATATATCTAAATTGTATATTCCTTGCAGAAACGGGAGCAGGCCATGCTGGCATGTCTGCAGAAGTATTATGCGGCTGCCGAAACGCTTAAGGATGCAGTGAAGCAGTCCGGGGACATCAAGATCTGGATCAGCCTGAATCCCAATCCTGACAACAAAACGGAGGTGAGGCTTAAGGCCCTTTAAGCACAGCAGTAGAAAGTCATACTAATTTGGTTTTCATTTCCGTGAGCAGGAGAAGACGCAAGTGAACGCCACCATTTCGCCCACTAAGACCGCCTACGAGCTGTGCCGCGAGTACTCCTTGAAGATGCAGCTGCCCACCCACCAGCTGACCCTGTACGAGGTGATCCTAAACGACAGCCTGGAACGACCGCTGCACCACGACACCAAGGTGTTCGATGTGATCCTGAACTGGTCCTACTGGCCGGAGGAGGATCGCAAGCACAACTACCTGGTGGTGCGTCCGGTTGAGATGCTGCGTGAGATTCAGCGGGCGGTCAAGAATCTGGCCACCGTAACGCCCGGCAAGGAGCTGCGCTTCGCCGACTCACGGACGAAGACCTTCAAAACGCTGCAGTGCGAGCTGCGGGACGGGAAGATTGTGGTGTCCAAGAAGGACAAGAACGACAAAACGACCATCGTGCGCGAGGTCTTCCTGCAGAGCAGCACGGCCTACTTGGGCTGCGAGCGCAAGCGGGACTTCCCCTGGAGTTGGGCCATCACCTTCGTGGAGCGCACACAGGCGCAGATCATGAGGTGGGTTTATTAGACAAATAAAGAGGTTAACTTAAATAACAATTTCTCCACCCCGCAGATCGCGTGATGCTCCGTTCATTGGCCACGTCCTGGCGGGCAGCGAGTGGGTGGATCGTACCATCTGGTACTCCAGCATCTGGTACTGCCTGTACAAGGACAACATCCTGCCGCCGGCGGAGATCATCATCAAGTAGGATTGGGCCCCTCTCCCAGCTGCCAAACATAGTTTTAACCTTACTATGCTGTCTTGTGCATTTTTCTGTAGATATTCTGAATTTATTCGCAATAATTAGGGAATATATACACTTAGCAATTTTTTTATACAAAACATTTTGAGAGTTTTCCAATATTTCGAATAGGTTTAGCCAACGAAACTACATTTTTTTTTTGCAACATTTTCTGTATATAATCATGTTCTCTTTAAAACCAAATTGTACATAACCTTAAGGAATTTTAATTTGTATCATTAAGTATATGCCATTTGTCTTCAACATAGCTCGTTCTCTGAAATATCTACCGTTTTAATAGATATGAGTTAGACACGGCCACGCAGAGCATCAAATTTTAGCCTAGTTACTGTTTTCGTAATGTCTTTGATGTAATTTTTATACGTATTCGATTCAATTGGTTTTGCATTTATGTATTGCTTATTTACATTTGAAGCCATGCAATTGATTGTCTAGACAACCCAGAGTTTATTAGTAAACAATAAAATATATTTACAAATATTTCTCCAAGTGTTTGTTTATTTAAAGACATTTCTGATCCTGTAAAGTATATATATATTGATCGGCATCACTAGACGAACCGATATATGTAGCTATAGATCTACAAATGATCTTAAAGCGGCGGTTGGCAGAGTTCCATTAAGTGTGCCTCTGCCGGCACACGTACAGCGTACCACAGCGGTATTCTTTTCCCTGGGGCACAGCATTTTTTGAAGATTTCATAATTTCCAGTTTTATTATATAAGAGTGTTAAGAGTGATTTTAACACCCACTATCCCTCCATCAAAAAGTATTTTTTTTCATTTTCGGTAAGCCACCAATAAAAACGCACACACAATTCATGAATATCACTAAAATTTTGCAAACTTTGCATTTTATTTCTGTTTCTTTTTTTGCTGTTTCATTTTGTAGATTTACTTTTTCGAGAACATTTTTTTTTTCTTTTTGCTTGAACTTCACATACATAGTCGATTTTGTTGTTTGTTGTACAATACATAAAAAGAAATATGCGTGTTATGTATCTATAATATATATATATATATATGCTTGCTATTATGTAAATATATAGTCGTATAGGGGTTGTTAAGTATATTGATCAAGTAAACATGATTTGACTAACTTTACTGTGTTTCTTGGGTTAGACTGAGATGGGGTACAAAAGCAGGGTTCTGAAAGAGAAAGCGAGTGTGTGGGTGAGTGGTGGGCGGAGGGGGAGGTGGGAGGTTGGTTGTGGGTTGTTGGCTGGTGACTACGAATCTAAACCTCTACTGGAAGGAGGACAACAAATTTCGGACATACTCTTAATCGGTATCAATATTTTTTACACTAACTAAATGTACAAATCAACAAACGCCAAAAGTAGGACCTCAACACGGTTAGGATCGGCACTCAAAGATCGGGACTATATATACATCAAGTGGGGCCGCGCGAGCCAGATCAAGAGAGAGCAGGACATACAGATTTTTGCTTTTATTTTAACGCATTTTTCTTCCTTTAGCTGCTGCGACATTTGAAGTGCTGGCAAAAGTCTAACCTAGTCGTTATATAGTTAGCATATGATATTATATATATATATATAACTAGAGGAGGGCACTGGGCCGCTCAAACTATCAACAAGTATTCTAACGTTAGCTCAAAAAAAAATAATATAATCCATTAATATTAATTAATAAGAAGAAAATCAAACAATCGTTACAATTGTTGGTTAGGGGCCGCTGGACAGGATTGGGAGGTGGTGGCGTGTACGCGATCGTTGCCGGTGAGTGTAATGGATGGAAGGTGGTGGTGCAGGTTGGGTGATTGGTTGGATGAGTGGGCGCTTCTTCCAAAACGGATAAGTAGTAAAATGCTTAGACGTATAAATAGGCTCTCCTAATGTTAGTATGTAATAATCACATTGACTGCCGCCATTGCCTGTTCGCTGCCTGCCCTCTGCTCCCTCCTCAGTTTCTGCGGAGGACTACATGTGATGCCACTGCGTCACTGCCACATTGGTGTTGTCGTTTAACCGGGCGATCTCTTCGTGCAGCCCATGGCCCAGCCACTGCAGAAAGATCCTGCTGTAGGCCGCCTGGCAAAGTCGCAGCGGGTTTCCGCGTCTCAGGCCCTGATCCGTCTCGCCGTACTCGTCCAGGTACGGTGGCTGGACAAAGCATCCCTTGCCTCTGCCCAGGTAGACCACCTGGCAGTCGCGAATGCGTAAGAAGATCCCAACCTCCGCGCCACAGGCGTGAGCGTGATGGGTGCACGCACCCACAGACGACTTGCCCAGCTCCGGCTGGCAGCAGTACGACTGACCGCACAGGATCACCCCGCAGATCAGACACATCGTCGGCGTCTTCATCTCCTCGCGCTCGTTGTTCGGGCAGAATATGTCCGACACACTGTTGATCAGATCGCTGTAGTCGTCATACAGCTGCTTCAAGCGCGGCAGCGGGCGCAAACAGGGCTCCAACAGCACGGACCGACGAACATCCGGCTGGCAACGCTGCTCCACCTCACGGGTAATGTCCGGATGCGAGGCAAACGAGTTCATCATCGTGGCGTAGACCGTCTCCATGTCAAAGTACACGCCCAGCTGAGGGTCTAGGCCCAAGTACTGGCACATCAGATCAAACCGATCCGGCTGATCTGTGGGAAACGTGTCCGGGAAATCCACGTCGGTGAGACAGCGATAGAACAGACAGGCGCAACGCAGGAACGAGCTCATCTTACGCTGCACGTACTCGAGGAGCAGGGCCAAATGATGCAGTTCGCATGGTATTACCACTGTCTGCTCCTGCTGCTGATTCTCATCCTTCAGCTCCTCCGCCAGCTGCTTCTGCATGTTCTTCTGCACCACTCTGGCGGGGATGTTGTAGCGGCGATAGAAGGCTACCATATTGTCCCGAATCCTGTCCGGCAATTGTTCCAAGTAGTCCCACACCGATTGATTGGCATGGGGCGACTCTTGTTCTTGTTTGGCATGGGGCGTTTCTTCTGCTCGTTTGGCCTGCTCCTTATCCACATCAAAGCAAAGGACCGCTTTGGTCAGGTGGGCCAGGAACATAATCTGCAGGATGTAATAGTCGAACATACTGCCGCTGGGTATGATGGTTTGATCGGCTGTAAAAGGAATGAAAAACCAAGTGAATTACTGCCGCTTAAAGGATGAATTTCAAACTTACCATTATCGGCCGTCATCAGATTGAGCACACCGAACTGGAACGGCACAAGCACGCGGAAGGAGTCCCACTCCAGCACACTGGTTCCCTTCTGATTAAAGATGGTGTCCAGCAGACGGGCGGCGAATCCCGCCTGGGACCGCAACGGCGGCGGCATCGGAAGATCGCCCGTCCTGTTTGCAGCCGAAAAACGAGAGCACGCTCTCACCAAGTTGGTGACACAGCTCTGGTGGCGCATAGGTAGCTCGGCCTTTAGCGGCTTCTGGACCACGAACAGATAGATCTCCAGCGCCTGCAGCGTGTAGCTGCACGTGTCCCATAGCATGGGTACCAGCTCAATGTTATCGGGATCCAGGCCTTCAATCAAATGTGGCTGTTGACTCTGCATGGCGTTCAGTAGGGCCTTCCTTAAGAAGATCATCACATCGCTGTAATTTGAATGCAGCTTGGGAGGATCCTTGATCAGCTGCACGCTCCGCTCGAATTGCGCCATATCCGCGACAACACCGGACTTGCGCAGGATGCTGGACACACTCGGAAGCTGGCACATTTCCTCGTCCTCAATGGCTCGCAGATCGGCGGCCAGTGCTAACATGATCTCCACAAAGCTGTCCAACGGTAGATAGCTATCGGTCGAAGAAGGAGGCGGCGAGAAAGCGGGCAACGCTTCGGTCACCGGCAACACGGTGTTGCTCAGGGTCCGGCAATACGGACAGTGGAACTCCACGTTGTTCGCCTGACTTAGGGCCGCGCGATTGCGGTGCGGGCGACGCTGCTCCTTAGACTCCTCGTTGCTGTAGTACTCCTGCCAGCAGCTGTGGTGCATCACATGCCCGCAGCAACTCATATGCAGAGCGCTCTGGCTGGCACGCATATTGGGCGTGGTGAGGATCACCCGTGAGGTCTGGACGAAGGCAGAGCTGACCAAGGGCGGACCGCTCCGGCTAATGGCACAGTTTTCGAAGCACAGGATGCACTTAAAGTCCGCCTCGCTGCCCTGGTAGAATTTACGATCCGGTCCCAAACACGCCACGTTTGGCTTCAGGGCCACTGCCCCCTGCTCGTCCTCGTCCGATATATCCTCCCAATCCATGGCACCTGTGGCTGCCGTATCCTCTCGGGACTCCTTGTCGGTGGCCGCAAACATCTCCGCATTGCTCTTCATGAAGGACTTCTGGGCACTCTGCATCTGTGCCATGATCATGGCCCGGCGTTCGGCCGCCAAACGGGCGCGTACCTCCTTCTCCTGGCGCGCCTGCTCCTCCAAACTCAGGGGCTGCTCCTCCCCGGCGCTCTGCTGCAAACCACTGGATTCTGCTCCGCCGTCACTGGGCGCCTGCTTGGCCTGTAGTTCCTTGTACAGCTTAATGGTCCACAGCACAAAGTCGCGATGAGCCTCCAACTGGCCAGTCGATTTAAAAGAAAACAAATAGATTTTATTTTTAGGGGAGAACATGCGACTTACCCTGGGACAACGGGCGAGTTCGTCCAACTTTTCCAGGATACCGTACTTCTGGGATCGCTCGTAGAAGCTCAAGAAGGGATAGTGCCCGCTCAGCTCCTCCTGAATGGCGAAACCCATGAGGTGGAGGATCTATGCAAAAATGGAACACATAATAAGGCTTTTTTCAAAACACACAAATGCGTTAAGATTACCTTCTGGAGATGTGATTCGGTGAAGGAGCGACTTCGAGGATCCAATGCCCGTTCCATAATCAAGGTGCACGTGTGGAGGAACACGGTGCATTGCAGAATGTTGGCCATGGATCTGAAAGCGCCACAAATAAGTACGTGCGTGTACGTAAGCTCGGTAAACTCACGTAAAGGCTGGTGTTAGCTGTGGCAGCATCGGCGGTGGACAGCAGACCAGTTCCTTCTTGGCCTTGCGCCGCTCCCGCTGCAATTCCTCGGCCTTGGACTTGTCCTCCTTGGTGTAGTGATAGAAGTAGACGTTGAATTCGTCAAACAAATGCTCCTTAAGCTCGTACACCCCCTTGCTTTCGACGCCCACGGGCTTTTTGAACACGGCCACCGTGTTGATGACGTCCTCAAAGATGTTGTCGCTATTCCCGCTATTGCCGTCCGGCAAGGCCCGACTCAGCTCTGAATGTGAGTAGGACTTGGTGCACAACAGCTGGATGATCTCCTTACGCAGTCGATCCTCCTCCGTAACCATCGAAACGCCCGGCATCCAGCGCTCGCCGATGATCACGATCAGCAGTTCCAAGAACTCGTCAATCATCGACAGCTGACGCATGAACTCATCGTCCACAGGATTCTCCAACAGCACGGTCTCGTAATTTGAATGCGCCCAGGAAATTAGATTGAACTTATTTA